CAAAAAAGAAACAGCTTGCGTGTATTTGGACTATGGTGGGATTTTTGGTTATTATATTTGAATGACTAAAATCAATTGGGTGGTTGTTTAAAAGTTTATACAAGGGCACCACTTCTGGATGAATTGAAAATGGAACTTAAAAAGTACAAAGAAGATGCACAAGAAGGGAAGGGTTCTTTTGGCTTCATTTTTCAATTCTTAGAAATGGAGATTTAGAACTATGAGAAACAACAAGAAAAGACTGCAAAAGAAGAAGACTGGGACAAAGAAGAAGCCATCTTTAATGAACAAGTAATTCTATGTGGGGAAGAAAAAGGAAAGGGGGGAAAGAGAATGGAGAATTTAAGACTTAAAAAAACAACCAAAGAAAAGAAAAATAATTTGAAAAATAAATATAATACTGGAAAGCAACAGAAAAGGGGAATACAGAAGAGAGAAATAGAGGTAGAGAGACCAGGGGGTAAAAAGGGGAGAGATAAGAAGAGAGGGAAGAAGGAAAGGAAAAGATGTCGCAAAGGACCAGGGGAAGATATAAAGAAACAGGACCTATTTAGAGGTAATGGGTGAAAATATAACTGAAAAGGGGATTCTGTAAAGCTACATAAGATTGTGTTGTTATATTAGTAATAGAAATAACTTTAGAAAATTGGAAACAACATATGATTAAAATGAGGGATAAAATAGTTAGTGTAATTTAGTGAAATGTTTGTGAATAAAATAAGTGAAATAAAATAAATGAGAAAATTGAATTAGGAAGGAACGGGAACATTTTAATTAGTTAATGTTTTATAAAATATAAGTGAAGAGGGGGGGAATTAACTATGGAAAGCTTATAATTGTTTCCATAGAAGTATGATATTTAATTGAAAAGTAATGTTAAAGATGTTAAGACTTTAATGAATATTAATATTAATGATAGAATTGAATTGGAATGGCATGTTGTTTTAATTATATATATTTATAATTTTTTTCTTTTTTTAAGAATACAGTGTGTATTTTAAGAATGTACCAAGCAGAATCCGAATGGAAGTTATGTATTATATTGAATGTTACAACTTTAGGGAAAAGATATAAACGTGTCATACTCCAATCAGTAACTACAGGAGAAATTTTGTTTAATGAGAAAAGATAATAGATAATTGAAACAGGACAGACAAAAAATATAAATACAATGATTTGAATTGAGATGAAATAATTAAAATAAAATTGAGAAAATTAAAAGAGGGGAGAAGCTATGTAGAAAATGTAAAACAGTAATAAGATACGGAATAGAATATAAAAATGAGCATGAACCTGAATTTGTGTCTGTACGAAGAAATGTAGCCTGGGATTATGCTGCTTTCAAAAAACATGTTTTATTTGTATTTTTTTTTCTCTTTGTGAAAACTCAAATAAAATTTACAAAAAAAAAAAAATAGGGGGAAATGCTTGCAACAAAGATCAGCTAATTTTGATATGGATAATGCTTATCTGTGTGTTAAAGATGCAGTGTTCTACTTGGTATCTTCTCAGATATAAAATATAGCATGGCAGCTTTAGCAGCAAAAAAAAAGGTAAAATAATATTATTGAAGACACATTACAATTTCATTTACTTCTTATAGGGCTTCCTGAAATGTAGTAGTCTGAAATTAAAATGAGACGAATTTTCCTCTCCCATACTCTTAACAGTGGCCACTTACTTAAATCTGTGAAGTGTTAGATAACTCCTTTTGGAGGTTCAAGAGTTTCTAATGTTGAGGTTCTTCTACTTAGTTTCTCCTCTGCGTCTCCTTTCTTCCTGCCACTGTTCATATTCTATCTTATCAAGGTGGAATGTTTGTCTCTGTTCCAGTTTTTCCCTCCTTTGCTCATGTCTCCGTGTCAATTCTTTCTCAAACATTTATGAGCCAAAATTTGCACCTTTTATGTGTAATTTGCTGTACCTTGCATACAATATATTTTTATCTTGTTTCCTGGTATTATAGCTTGATTTATTAACTAAATCTGCTTTGAACAAAGAAACACAAATTGAACTGGGGTCCTTTGAAGAGATTCCATTGTTTCAGACTCAAAACTGAAAACATTTTGAACTGAGTCTGAATTCTTTGAAAGTGAGTACTTTAAGCAATTCAGAAGGCTAGAGAAGAGACAACATAAATTCAAATACTCACATTCCTTTTTATTTTCCGTACAGGGAGTGCTGTGATAGAAAAGAAAACAGAGTTACTGATAGGACAATCTTCTAATCAGAAGGAAGAGTTTTCTAAGAGATTTCTAACTAGATAGTGGATAGAGAGAATGATGCTGAGTCATGTATTATGGGTTTTATTTTCTATGTCTCTGTTCCTTATTATCTTCTTCTAATCTGCACAAGAACTCTTGAAGAGTTTGAAAGAAGCCAATCCAAGAAAGGGTTACTGTTTGTAACACACGTCCTGCTGAATTCTTTGTCCCTCAAAAATTGTGAAATATCCAGCATTTCTTATTAGGAAAAGTACTTTGAAGAAGGCATATCAACTCCATTCTAATTCTGCAGTTCTTGGTAATCATGCCATTCTTGTTTGCCATGAATGTTTTTTTGTTCCCTTTTGTAAAAATCATGAGGACAGTAGGCACAATATTCTGTTTTATTTTAGAATAAAGCAGACTTTTTTTTTTACCAAAATGAATTCTCTATAGTTAAACTTGTCATAACTTAATATTCATCTTTGTATGAATTATGGTTTCATTAAATTGGTGATTTTGTCTCTGATTCTCCCCAACCCCGTTTAACTCTCAGGGTTATTTGCATTCTTGTTTTCAGTTGCGCCTAACTCAAGCATCTTCATTATACTTCAAAATATTGGCTACACCTGACATTGAAAAGCAGAAGCTTGGTAAACTGGAATTTAAACAGTAAGGAGTCTGAAGAGATTCTCAGTCATCCAGGTCATGGTTGTCCTAAAGGTGCTTTTTCAGGAGGCGACTGGACTTTCTAGTTTTTTCTTTTGAAGACATTTTGCTTCTTTCCAAAAAAGCTTCTTCAGCTCTGACAGGAAAGTGGGGAATGGAAGGATTTATATTCCTTGCAGACAACTGGTCATTTGCATCCTTTTAGAAGGTTTTTGAAGCAGTTGGAGGTTTGTCTGTGTCCTCAGGGTCACCTGATTAGTGCTCCTGATTCCTGTAGTCTGCACCTTTTTCCTCTGCAAATCCATTTCTACTCCCACACCATTCAAAGGGTGTTCATTCTAAATTGTATAGCTAAAAGTCTCTAGAGATTCTCTGTTATCCAGGGCATTGTTGTTCCAAAGTGAAAAATATTCGAAAGAAAAACAGGAAAGTCCAGTTGCCTCCCAAAAAGGAACCTTTGGGTTAAACAGCAAGGATGTTACAAACTTGTTTAAAACTGGATTGACATGAATATAGGCTCAGCCAACTTCATTACATCCTTTATATTAAAATGAATGTTAAGTATCTCAGCTGTGAAAGGCACAGTCTGTTCTCATCTTTGAACTTTCATATTGGCCCTTGCTATATAAGCTTAACAATATTATCATCCAGATACTATAAAGTCTTGCTGAAATGGGAGAGCTTTAAAATGACTCACTACTTAAACCAATAATACACCTTGTTTCAAAACCAGTAAATAGAAGCCCAGAACCCAAGGCAAAGATAAAATTCACTGGTTTATTGATAAAAAAAATCTCATTTAGTTGTATTTTATGTTTGCCTAGTAAATGCTAAACAAATTTAGATAGGAAGTATTGTTGTAAGACACAGGTTAAATTTAGATGATATTTCCTCTATTTTTAATTGGCTTGATAGGCAGAGGGCAAGAATCATAGCAAGAGTTGGGGGGAATGATAGATCAGATCTTGAAATCAGATTTGCTGATTACAGTTCTCCATTTTTTTTGTCAATTGTCTGTCCCTTGTGAAAGTATAAGATCAACATATGTGAAATATAGATGTTATTGCTGCTGTTGTTAAATTGTTTTTTTTAATATAACTGCTTTTTATTTTAAAATAATGAAGCAGTGTCCTAAAGACAGACTTGAAAGTTGACTGTAGAAATTTGAAGAATTAATCTGTTGCAAATGACTCATAAGCTTCTCCATCTCTTGAAGAATGAAATGATGTTCAGACCCTCTTGAACCACCAACCTGTAGTTTTTAATAGTTTACCTAGGTGAGGAATGATAGACCTACTGAGTTTTAAATACTGAATTTGCAAAGTTGGCAAAGGAAGTATTGGAACTTGCAAAATGCAATAGCAGTCCCTAATTTACATTGCAGCATTGGGTGTATTTTTCAGTGGGCTTATTTGATATGAATCTACTGTCATGGCAGAACTCCAATTTATGGCAGAATATGTTAGAAAATTAAAAAGATCTTTTGAAAGGTTTTCTATGTGACTCAGAGTAGAAATAACCAAAAGTAACTGAGCAAACACAAATCTTGATTACAGAGTTGCACTTTTGTTTTGTTCAAATGTTGAAGATAGCTAGTTGGGTTTGGTTAAAGTTCACAGAAACTATATTAGTTTATAATCTAAACATAAGTAAAAAGTGTTTTGTACTTGCTTTAGCTCTGAGATTTTGTATATATTTTTATTTAATTTGATTGTTGATGCTTTGCCTTTACTGCATATTTGCACAATGATGTTATGGTATTACACACTCCAGTGCTGCGCTGTCATTTCTCCCATTGCTTTTCTCTGACAGCGCAGTTCTTTTTTCAAAGGTCATAGCTGCAGTAAAACTAAAGAAAGCATTATTAGTGGAAGGGCTGACCATCTCAGATAGAAATTGTAGATGTTGAAGATGTAAATATTTGAAGACTATCAGGCCAGGGAAAAGAGGGTAAGTAGCAAAATGTACCACCCCCACCCTTTTTTTTTTACACTTTTCATTAGTAACAAACAGGATACTCCATGGGATATATCTGCCTTGGTAACAAGCTGACTTTAGGAGAAAAGAAAAATGTGTGGCACTTTTTACATTTGTGTCCCTATAATGAACTTGTTTTCTTTATTCTAGATACATTTTATCCTGCTGTTCAGCCGACAAGGGAAATTAAGACTTCAAAAATGGTTTATTACACTTCCTGAAAAGGAAAAGAAAAAAGTTACCCGAGAAGTTGTGCAGATTATTCTGGCTCGAAATCAAAAAATGAGCAGCTTTGTTGACTGGAAAGATCTCAAGCTTGTTTACAAAAGGTGTGGGAAGTTTTATAAATCAACTTTTTATATACAGCATATCATTTCCATGTGTGATAAAAAGGGAAGAGGAACACATGTTCTGTAAATCAATGCTAGCATGGTGATAAATAGCAATTCACTAGACTGAAGAACAACCACGAGTTCAGTTTCATCTTCTTTAAAAATTTATTGTTTTTGTGTAAAGAGAAAGTTTACAGGAATTGTTTCAATATACTGAAGAAAAATCTACATTCAGGGACTCCTGTTATCTGAAGGAAGGGTTGGGTAACATTTTCAAGTGAGTGAAACAACCTGGTCCAGTGTTTCCCAACATCAACATATTTAAGATGCATGGACTTCAACTCTGTTTGAAGTGCTGGATGGGGAATTCTGGTAGTTGAAGTTGCTGAGATTGAGAACCACTGACCTGTCCAGAAGACAATTTTTTTCTAACCTTGCTGATATGATGAAAAATATTGC